TTGTGCTCTTTCTTCGGGGAGATAATTGTTGTGCTTTCATTATTGTGAAGTATCTCAATTTCTATTGTTCCCTCCAAGTCCGATTTTAGGCTATTTTTTGGAATATTTTTTCTTTCACAAGACACATACATCACCAGCCCCAAATAATCTCTGTTCTGAATATAGTTTTTTATCCCCCAGTATTTTTCACAGACAACTATCCAGCACCAATGAAGATTGACTGCCAGGTTGAATTATAGAACCCAAACCAGGTTTAAAATGTCTGGCAGCATGCTAACATACACTGACCAAGAAGGCACCCAGTTATTCTTATTAATCATAATGATCTCGTTCGAATATTTATTGTTTTTAATTCTGTTTTGCAACAGACTTCTAAACCATCTCTGGATTTTTGGCAAAAAATCCTTGTATCAAAGGACTTCTACAAGTAGTCCTCATAACTTTCCACCACAACTGAGCCCAAGATTTCTTTTGTTAAGCAAGGCAGCTAAGTGAGCGTTGTCCCATTTTACAACTTCTCTTGCCACAGTTGTTAAAAGTGAATCACTGCCATTGTTAAATTAGTAACATGATTGTTAATTGACTCTGGCCTCCCTATTTGTTTGTCAGAAGGTCGCAAAAGGTGGTCACATTACCCCAGGACACTACAAATGTCATGCATATGAGCCAGTGGCCAAGCGTCTTAATTCTGGTCGTGTGCCCTATGGGGATAATGCAACGATCGGAAGCAGGGGTGGGCTCCTGGGGGTTCGGGAGATCCCCTAACTAGGATTCTGTGCAGTTCAGAGAACCCCCAAATCTCACTCCTGGCTGCCCCCCGCCCACCCCCGCCCCTCCCAGGAGTCTGTGAAAATAAATTGACCTCCTGCCACAAAGAAGAGGGGGTCAATTTATTTTCCAAAGCACCAGAAAGGAGGACAAGAAACAATGGATGGAAACTAATCAAGGAGAGAAGCAACCTAGAATCAAGGAGAAACTTCCAAACAGTGGTGACAATTAACCAGGGGAACTTTCACAGGTTGTGGGTGCTTCATCACTGGAGGTTTTTTTTTTATAAATAAATTTTATTAATTTTACAATTAAAACAAACCAACAACACATACACAAATGAAAGAAAAGGAGAAGAAAATAGAAAGAAAAAATAGAAAGCAATTAAAAACATTCTCAACTTCAACAGTAAGATCTCTTTTTTTTTTAACCCTTAATTTATGCCATATACACACACCTAATTCTTACATATATCTGTATATCACTACTATGGGTTTATCCTATCCTCTTTGGCCTTATAATGTAAAATCTATCTTTGGTCTATCCATTTGTACCAGCAATTCCAGCTATTGTAGTATATTGAGGTGTCTTTATTTTTTAGTGCCAAAGTTAATTTGTCCATTTCTGCACAACTTGAAATTTTTTGAATGATCGTTTCCTCTGATGGAACCTGAGGCTGCTTCCAACATTGGGCAAAAGCTAATCTGGCCGCTGTCAAAATGTGTATTATTATATATTTCGCAAAAAAAAGAAAAGAAAAAAAAAGCATCACTGGAGGTTTTTAAGAAGAGACTGGACAACAGCCACTTGTCTGAAATGGTACAGGGTCTCCTGCTGGAGCAGGGGGTTGGGCTAGAAGACCTCCAAGGTCCCTTCCAGCTCGATTCAGATTCTGACAGTTTTTAAGTGTGAAGGCTGGTCTTAAATAACTTTTTTAGTGCAGGTGTTTTGGTATTTATTTTCATTTATCCACAAAAGTAAAATACAAAACAGAAAAACAAACATGCAACATTAACAATGGAAAAAAAAGGAGAGATAAAATTCTTTGTACACAAAAGAAAGGGGAGAAAAAAAACCCAAATGTGCAATATATCTAAATCTTAAAACATAAAAAGAATCCATCCTGGCTGGCTGTTAAAAAAATAAATAGAGGTAGCCCTAGACCGGAGGTTTCCAAACTTGGCAACTTTAAGACTTGTGGACTTCAACTCCCAGAATTCTAGCTATGCTGGCTGAGGAATTCTGGGAGTTGAAGTCCACAAGTCTTACAAGTTGCCAAGTTTGGGGACCCCTGTCCTAGACCTGCAGCGTGGGGGTCAAAGTTACGATGACACAGAAAAAAATGTGACTTATGACAGTGGTGGGATTCAAATTTTTTTTACTTCCGGTTCTGTGGGTATGGTTTGGTGGGCGTGGCTTGGCTTGGTGGGTGTGGTTTGGTCAGCTTGGCAGGGGAAAGTTACTGCAAAATCCCATTCCCTCCCCGCCCCACTAACCTGCTTTCCAGCTCCGTTCTCCTGTGCAGGGCAACAAAGAAAGACCCAGCCGATCAGCTGGGACTCGGGAGTCAGAGAATACATGGGGGTGGGGCCAGTCAGAGGTGGTATTTGCCGGATCTCCAAACTACTCAAAATGCCCACTACCAGTTCTCCAGAACTGGTCAGAACCTGCTGAATACCTCTGATTTATGACCGTTTTTCACACTTTAGGACCTTTGCAGCTTCCCCGTGGTCACATGATCAACATTCAAATACCTGGCAACCGATTTATCGTGGTCGCAGTGTTCCCGTGGTCATGTGATTCCCTTTGGCGGCCTTATGACAAGCAGAGCCAATGGGGAAGTCAGATTCCCTTAAGAACCAGGATACGAACTTATCAAACTGCAGTGATTCACTTAAGAACGGTGGCGTGAAAGGTCGTTAAAAAAAGGGGGCGAAACTCACTTAACCAATGTCTCGCTGAACAACAGAAATGTTGAGCTCAATTGTGGCTGTAAGTCGAGGACTACCTGTAAATTTAAAAAAACAACAACCCTGATAGGTTCTCCTTCCCTTACATAACAAGTCTACAAACAATTATGAACTTTCCCATCCTCATTCAACAAAAAGATTGTATTAAATAAACAGGTATTCCTGTTAATAGGAGCCTCTGTGGCGCAGTGGTTAGAGTGCAGTACTGCAAGCTACTTCTGCCGCAGCCAGCTGCCTACCATTTGGCAGTTCAAATCCCACCAGGGTCAAGGTTGACTCAGACTTCCATCCTTCCAAGGTGGGTAAAATGAGGACCCAGATTTCTGGAGGCAATGTGCTGACTCTGTAAACCAGGGGTCCCCAACCACCGGGCCGGTACCGGTCCATGGATCATTTTCTACTGGGCCGCGGGTACTTGGGCACCGCCATCTTGTTTCGACGGCACTTGAGAAAGTGCTTCCGGGTGAGCTTGGAAAGCGGCGTTTGGGTGCTGAAGGAATCCTCGCACCTTAGTTTCGTTGAAGAGGGGGGGGGGCGGCTTCGAACGAAGAGCCGTCCCGATGGCGGTGGAGTCTCGCGTTACTCAGGAGATTAAGAAAGAGCCCGAAAAGCCCATCGACCGCGAGAAGGTACAAAGGAGGAGTTGAAGGTGGCAGGGAGAAGCGGGGGACAGCTGGCTGGCTGGCCAGTCGCTTGGCTCGCCTTGCCTTGGTCGTGCGTGCTGATGCCGGTACCAGTCTGTGGATCATTTGTCCACGGTACAAAAAAGGTTGGGGACCACTGCTGTAAACCACTTAGAGAGGGCTGTAAAGCACTATAAAAAGCGGTATATAAGTCCAAGTGCTATTGCTACTGCTATTGCTATTCCAGATGAGAGAAGCTATCCATCTAATAATCAAATAGAGCCGACATCTAATGGGCTGTTCTTTCCACAGGCAAAACAAATGGTTGTAAGTTAAGGACTATCTGTACTTACATTATTTTTCTAACTGAAAGTTAACTATTTGATCTATATTTGATGTGAGAAATGCAAGGTGAAAGCATCCTCAGTTCCAATCCTGACCTATATATATCAACCAGTGGTGGGATTCAATTTTTTTTTTACTACCGGTTCTATGGATGTGGCTTGGTGGCCATGGTATGGCTTGGTGGGTGTGGAGTGGCTTGGTGGGCGTGGCAGAGGAAGGATATTGTAAAATCCCCATTTCCACCATACTCCTGGGGAAGGATACTGCAAAAATCCCCATTCCCTCCCCACTTCACTAACCTACTTTCCAGCTCCATTCTCTTGTGCAGGGCAACCAAAGAAGACCCAGCTCATCAGCTGGGACTCGAAAAGCAGAGAAGAGATGGAGGCGGGGCCAGTCAGAGGTGGTATTTGCCGGTTCTCCGAACTACTCCAAATTTACATTACCGGTTCTCCAGAACTGGTCAGAACCTGCTGAATCCTCACCTCTGCTATCAACTCTGAAAGGTCACAGGGGCAAAGATATTCTATCTAACCAAACATTTTCTCTCATCTTTAATGATGGATTGTCCTGACTTGCAGGTGTTCCTGACTTACAACCACAATTGAGACCAGAATTTCTGCTGCTAAACAAGACCGTGGTTAGCTTTGTCCCACTTTACAACCTTCCCTGCCACCACTGTGAAGTGAATCACTGCAGTTGTTACATCAGTAACGCGGTTGTTAAACTGAATCTGGCTTCCCCACTGACTTTGCTTTCCAACGGGCGCAAAAAAAAGGGATCAAATGACCATGAGACACCGCAACCGTCATAAATATATGCAGTTGCCAAAGAGTTCAAATTTTGATCACGTGACCACCAGAATGTCACAATGGTGTGAAAAACGGTCCTAAGTAACTTTTTTTTTAGTGCCGCTGTAACTTTGAACAGTCCCTAAATGTACCATTGTAAGCTGAGGACTACCTGGCTGTTGTCAGGATTCCGACACTTAACCCCATTTAAATCATGAGTCTCTAGCCAAACTCCAAAAGGATTTATTGGGAGTTAAAAAAATGTGGCATTGCCTGAGTGTAGCCGACTCTGAGGCACATCATTCATTGTCACCCTTGACCCTGGTTTTCCCCCACCCCCTGGGTATATCGTAATTCATATTCTCCAATGGGACACATCCATAGCCAGGAGTCATCAATCATGCTCTCCAGTTAGAATTTTGCACGGCAGAAACTTCGGTCACCTAGAAACTATCTTTGAAAACATGTATGGAATGCAAGCTGCCCACTGCTCGCCCCTCCCTTTCTGTTGGCAACTCTAAACAGACCATAGAAATATTTTATGAGTTGACATCTGTCTTATGATCTCTTTCCCAGCTTTGCTCCCTGATGGGCGTCGAGATCTGATCTTTCCTCTAAATGATTCTGGTCGGCTGACCGCCGGTATGGATTCCCTCCTGTATGAATGCGTTCGTGTGTCACCAGGCCAGACTTCTGACAAAAGGTCTTCCCACACCGTGAGCATTGGTATGGTTTCACTCCCGTGTGAATTCGCTCGTGGGTGATGAGGTTTGACCCGTCGGTGAAGCTCTTCAGACACACTGAGCACTGATACGGTTTCACCCCGGTGTGGATCCTTTCGTGAACCCTCAGGACGGCCGCGGTGCGGAAATCCTTCCCACAGCTGGAACATTTGTAGGGCTTCTCCCCCAAGTGGATTTTTTCATGGACACTCAGGGTTCCCTTCTGACGGAAAGTCTTCCCGCACGTCAAGCATTTGAAAGGCTTCTCGTCCATGTGGATTTTTTCATGGATGGTGAGAGTCCCCTTTTGCCGGAAGCTCTTCTCACAGTACGGGCATTGGTATGGCTTCTCTCCGGTATGGATCCTCTTGTGGGTGATGAGGTTGGAGCTGCTGGTAAAGGTTTTCTGGCACGTGGGACACCGAAAGGGAACCTCGCCGGTATGAATTCCTGTGTGAGCCTTTAGTTGGGCAGATTTGCGAAAAGGGAGGCCGCATTCCGTACACGTATATGGCTTCTCTCCGGTGTGAATTCTTTCATGTACCCGAAAATTGGAGCTCCACCGGAAACGTTTGCCACAGTGGCACTGGTGGATTTTATGGCAGGTCTTGGCTTCTTCTGGATCGGAATCGCTTTTACCGACCGAAACAACTTTGTCCACGTTTCTTTTGGGGGAATTCCATTCTGTTTCTGGAGCCTCCTGGTTGTTAGGTCTCACTTCCTCCTTGAAACACTGGAAGGGTATGCTGTCTCTTTTTAGTGTCTCATTTTCTGGTGCCTCAGAAATGCTCTGACGAAGATGGTTGTCTTGGTTCATCTGTCTCTGATTGTTGGCTTGGGGAAGGAAGAAGGTCATAAATCTTTAGTCAGGTGACGTTCTAGGTCAGGGGTGTCAAACTCGCGGCGTCCTGTTGCCATAACATAACGTATCGCAATGTTTCCCCCCCCCTTCACGGAGCTGGGGTGGGCGTGGCCTGCGTGTGACGCATCCAGCCTGTGGACCGCCAGTCTGACACCCCCTCCCTGTTCTAGGTCAAAATTTAGCAGGATTCAGGATTTTTCTACAGAGTTCACAAACACTTGTGTATTAGTAGCGATTCCTTACTATTGGATTTTAGTTTATGTAGTGTTCCTTAATCTTGTTTAAACATAAGCCTCTTCGAATGTTTAATCGCAGGGCATGTATGCTTTTAGGGATCAAATACTTTGTGGCTATGTGGGCTACTCTATTAACAAATTTCATGTTGGGGTTTATGTGACACAACCACTCTTGTTTCAAAGGGGAAAAATATCTGCACATTCCTGACCTAATAAGTCATGGAGAAGGTAAACTTCCAACGGCTTCTCCATTTCACGATATTTTTCTGGGTGCGAGGAATATGTTTGGGAGGACAATTAATGACTGCCATGTCAGAGTATATTCATGAACTGGAATAGAGCGTAGTATCAAGGTCAGCCAATGAGAGCTGAATTGGGGGTTGAAACTTAGAGACAGAATCTGGGCCTGGTTTATCTCTGTTCTGTGCTCAGCTCTAAAGTGAAGGAGAAACTACACTTGCTTGCTTGCTGAAACGGAGTTCTGCTCTGAGCTGCTGCTGCTTGTTTTTTTTTTTTGCTTATGTTACATTGAAAGAATCTACAAATGGTATTGTAAACTTTACTTCAAATGTTATGTTTATAAAGAAGTTAATGATCCTGCTGAATCAGTCATCTGTGTGTTTTCTGGACTTTAATTTCTGCTGCAAACTCTTTTAACATGCCAGACGAACTGTTTTAGATAAGAACAGGAGTCCATCTAATTATATAAGTATAATATAAATCTAAATGCAAATGCAAAATGGAATAATTTGACTCAGATTTGCTACTAAGATGAGCAGAAAGCTGTAAGTCAAAAAAAAAAGGGGCATAAATGCAAATTCTTTTATCCTATTTATGGAGCACACTCATCTTCCTACTTGTGCAGGATTCCAACCAGTTCTCTCACACCTGAAGGAGAATTATACCACTAGGATTGATGCTAGATTAGCAACTCTTGTTCAGATGTTAAAGATCCTCGGTGGCGCAGTGGTTAGCGTGCGGTACTGCAGGCTACCTCTGCTGACAGCCACGTGCCTGCAATTTGGCAGTTCGACTCTCACCAGGCTCAAGGTTGACTCAGCCTTCCATCTTTCCGAGGTGGGTAAAATGAGGGCCCAAATTGTTGGGGGCAATATGCTGACTCTGTAAACCGCTTAGAGAGGGCAGTAAAGTACTATAAAGTGGTATATAAGTCTAAGTGCTAAATGCTATCAAGGGAGAAACGCTCAACACCTTTGGCTGATGAAATGCAGCTCATGCTTACCGAATGAATTCATTTCTTCGTCAATGTCCAGCTTCATCTCCTTGGACAGCTGCCATCCCCATGAACCTAGTGGTAGGCATTGGCTTCCCTGGGAAGGCTCTTCAGTTGGTAGCAGGCCCAAAAGATCTGGACTCTGGAATGACACAAAACAATTATTCAGTGGAGCAAAATCCATCAGCTGTGATGGGAGAATAGGTAACCTACACATCCCAGCCTTCTTTCATCTTTCTCTCAATGTGGAGGGATATTAAAACAGTTTCTCCCTCACTTACTCTGGATAGCAAACAGCTCTGGGCTCCTCGGTAGTAAAACTGTGGGGAGATTAAAACAATTTCTCCTTCACTTACTCTGGATAGAAGTAAAAAGCCAGAGACTAGTGGAGAAATAGACTTAGAAGGTACCATGAATCTTCAAAGCTTTGTTCCTTAATTTGATCTAATATGTAAAAAAAATGGAATTAGAGAACCTCTGTTTCCTGACAGAACAATTATGCCTTCCATCAAGGACCTGTATACTGCACCAGTCAAAAAGAGGGCTGTGAAAATATTTACAGACCCCTCACATCCTGGACATAAACTGTTTTAACTCCTACTCTCAAAACAACGCTATAGAGCACTGCACACTAGAACAACTAGACACAAGGACAATTTTTTCCCAAATGCCATCACTCTGCTAAACATATATTTCCCTCAACGCTGTTCAACTATTTACAAAGTCTGCACTACTATTATCATTAATTTTCCCATCACTCCTTATCACCCATCCTCTCCCACTTATGACTATATGACCGTAACTTTGTCACTTGTATCCTTACGATCTATATTGACTGTTTCCTAGTATGATTTGATTGCTTAGTGTACCCTCTGACTAGTATTAAGTGTTGAACCTGATGATTCTTGACTCTTGACGAATGTATCTGTTCTTTTATGTATATGAGAGTATTTGTACCAAGACAAATTCCTTGTGTGTGTCCAATCACACTTGGCCAATAAAATAATTCTATTCTATTCTGTTCTGTTCTAATTCTATTCTATTCTAATTCTATTCTGTTCTAATTCTATTCTATTCTAATTCTGTTCTAATTCTATTCTAATTCTATTCTATTCTAATTCTATTCTAATCAGTGAAACAACTTGCCTCAAGAAGTTATGAATGTTCCCACACTGCAAGTTTTTAAAAAGATGTTGGATAACCATTTGTATGAAGTGGTGTAGGGTTTCCTGCCTAGGCAGGGGGTTGGACTAGAAGACCTCCAAGGTCCCTTCCAACTCTGTTTATTCTATTCTATTCTATTCTATTCTATTCTATTCTATTCTATTCTA